GCCAATTCCTTATCCACCAAGTGGTCCATCTTTAGACTTTATTCCATAACTACAGCAGCTTTGACTAAAAGCAAGAGACATGTAACCATGAACAAGACCTATCTCAAGCTTTCAATAGAGGAAGTTTCTGCTGGGTTGGGGAAGATGGTTGGTGCCAAACCAAGATTTCTCAGACAGACACTATATGCTAAGACATTAGTTCAGGCAAGCGTAATAGGTACAGAGCTCTAGCCTGGGATGGGCTGAGGGATGGTACAAGCTACTGGGAGAAGTACCCTCTCCAGCTGTTCTTTGCTGTCCTGCCAATGCCCATGGGCTAGCAGCTTACCCAAATATGTGCTTTAGTTTTTCTGTTTCTGCAACAGAAATGTTAGGATGTTAGCAGTGCTTGCCTCTCTCATGTGGCTAGGAAAGCAGCCAGCTCTGTGTCAAGCAGAGGACAGGACCGAAATACTCATTCTCCTTTTAGCTAGCATCAGCTGCCTGGTGTGATTTATGGGGCAATCTTCCCTTCCACCCCCCACAGTGGTATGTAAATAGTATTTTTTAAACTATCATTGCAGCCTTGATGACCAGGGAAATTCCTGCCTGAGAAAGCTTTGGCAAGGTTTGTAAGGAGAGTTAGTACCCTGTATTAGGATCAACTGATGCAGCCAGGGAACCTTCAGTATTTATTTACTAAACGCTAGCAACCCCTAGTGTTTAGAACATGTTTCTCTTTCCTCTTTCTAAACCTATGTGGTAACAGAGCTGTTTGTTCTGAACAAGAGTATTGTTCAGTTTTCCCCCTTCCTGAAGTAGAAGCGTTTTCAACGCTGGTTACCAGAGATCACAGGTATGTCTCTGCCCAGATAGTTCACTCTCAGGAACAGAAAAAAGTGTACTCCAGTTACCTTAGCAGCAAATATTTTGGTTCCAAAGAGAGGCCATTTCCGGGCCACCGTCAAATAAATTCGAATGCATTCTGGTGGAGAGCATCCCTGCAGCACCATCCACTTCATCGCCAGCCTGTCAGCCAGTTGCCTTTCAGAATCCAAGACACAAGACAGCATTATTTACTGATGTCTTCCAAGGAAAGGTGAGTAAAATTGTAACAGGTAACATATGTACCTCGTATTCCAAAAGGGCTGTTCTACATAGCACTACAGACGGGCCTGCTAGCACTGTCAATTATGAGGGTTGTACAACCTGAGTTTATTTTAGCATTTTCTCTACTTCCACAATTATTTTATTCCTAGTTATACTGTAATGCCCAGGAATCCCAGTCACATATGGGTTGCTCGCTGGCATATATATTAAACAACTGTAATGACAAACACTCAGGCAGCTGTTACAATAAAATCCTGCCCACCTTGTCTTCACATTCAATTATACTCTCACCTTCCTCTTAACTTGTCTGTAGTATGCTCTATATGGAGTGGCAAAATATATATTAACTCACTCTTGATTTGGCTCACTAGGGATGGTTTAGCAGCTATCTCGCTATGTGCAGATGGAATTTGCTTCCGAGAGGAGCTAATTGTGTTAGTTCCACCACTGCATCCCCAAGTAGCTTTGGATCTGGAAGATTACCATTCTCTCTCTTTAAAACAGTTAGAGCTGAGATCCATGGCAGCATCTGAATTCTGTACTTGAGATCTCTGCATTGTGTGTGAGAATTTCCAAGTCAGAACATCAAAAAGCCCTGCCAAAATACATCCTACCAGAATTACTGCATGGCCTGAAGCAGCCCATATGTGCTGGCTTTATGGCTCGTTGCAAATGTTAGGCATCTGGATTCAATTGACACTTGAGGAAAGGGTAAAACAAAAATTCAGAAAGAGAATTCATATTAGGTTAGAGTTTGTTGGAACTGAGATGCCTAATTTGGAAGTGAAAGGCTTAAACTTCTTGTCTAGGGGAAAATTAGTTGGTGATTTGGCTCTTTTTATATTAGTTAACTGCCATTTTCTTTTAAAGGAACCTTTTCCTGACACTTGTGTTTTGTTTAAGTTTCTACATCAAATAATCCTGCCAGGACTTCTGGAAACTTCTTAAATATAAAGACAGAATTTTGCAAGTAAAATTTGTTTTCAGTGCCAAGTATAGAAGAACAAACAATTTACCTGAGCTGTTCAGGAGTACTGTTTTGCTTGTAGCGTTTGGGGTAGAATTTATCTAAGACCTGGTGGAGAAGATGCTGCATTTTCGATTGTGATGTTCCCCCAGGACTTGAAGATCCTGGACGATCCAAGTCCCCATATTCCACCTAAGACAACATTATTGTTTATAGTGCAACAGAACTATGGGGTTTTTAGTGCAGTAGAACATTCCATAGATTCCCATACCGATAACTACTATGTTTATTAGCCATGCAAAGAGATGCCATTAGGCAGTGGAATTTTGTCTACAGCATTACCATAGTAATGTGTACAACAGAACAACTACTGAGGACATGACTGCCCAAGGAATTCTTTACTGATCTAAAAAACTGAAGCAAGATCTCAGCCAGCTACTTGTTGTAGGGAGACACTTCTGCATAACTGCCAAGCTTTTGGGGTTTATTTTCAATTGGCCAATTAAAACAGCAGCCTATTTGTAAATAGTTTGGACAATGTTCCCGCCTTCTCCATCTCAGTCTACATTGCTTTAACAAATGCAACAATCAGTTTCAGCTCAGTAAGAGCTGCTTATCATGCCCACAACCCATACTGTGTGTTTTATGTGGTAAGATGCTAAATGCAAGCCTGGAGGTCTAATGGAGGATCCTACAAGATGCCCACGTAAGAGGCTATTGGCAATGCAACAGGGAAAATTTTGACTATTAAGTGGAATTCTAGTAAGTGATAAGATTTCCATATCTCTACTAAGGCACTACTTGAAGCAGTTCTGGCGATAGTCCAGCCTCACTTTTTTTTTCCAATGTTTTTCTTCAGAAGGAAAGGAGAGGCACTTCTATAGCAAATTTCCCTACAGCAAAAGGTGTTCTAACAACATATGTATGCTGGTATAATGTGTTTCACGTGGTACATCTCACACTGTATGTTTGATAAGAAATATCACATCACTGTTGACGTAAGAGGTAGCTGGTTAGTCAAAGACATTCAGTATAGAGCTGAAGTCCCTGGAGGACAAAAGGGAGTATTTCTGCCCGTAGCCATACTCACCTGAGCCATCAGAGCCACCATTTCCAGAGCTAATTCCTTATTAACAGGAAACCTTCCATTGGCTATTTCATTGCTGACTTGGAAGGCCAGTAGCAACCGCTCCCGGTCTGTCTCACCTTTGGCCTGGCTCCGAAAATATAGCCTAAAAAGCAGAGAGGATTGTAAAGGTAAAAAGGTATTGTGAACCTAGAGTAGAGGTGGGAACTTTAATCAAGGTGAGTAACAGTGGGGTTTCTTTTTTCTCCTTCTCCAAAGTGAACTTAGTGCATTGCAGGCGGTACTGGAAAGACATTTGGAAGCTGAGGTGCTTCCCTTATGAACAAGATTTGGACAAGGAGGCTCAAAACATACTTTCTAGTTTTGGAAGCCCTTTGAATTCTGAGTGCCAACCACTTTAAGACAGTGAAGCCTTATTAAACACAGGTAAATCAGTGGCCATCCAACCCCATCAAGCACAGACAGGTAATGTTTAAGATAGGGCCTTCTCTGCTTATCACAGAATACAGAACTGCCTCTGCTCTACATGTATAAACTTCTACATGACAGCCTTGTAGACTTGTTATTCCTGCCAGCTTTGTTTTGATCACTTACACTGATACTGTTACAACAAAGTCAGGAAATAAGAGACCAAATTAGCAGGCTTTATTTCAAAAATTGAAGAAGCATTCTTGTAAATCAAAGCTTCCTACTATTTTTTATTCCCTTCGACCTGGTATAGCAGGTTGACTAATGGAGGTTGAAGAAACCAGCTGGGGGGATGCTTCCCAGAACCATTCCTCATGTGTGCCTATTTACAGCCCACACCATCTAATTCAAATATTAATTTACAGCTGCATCTATGACTACATATTCCACAATACCACACAAGATATTCATTCCAGTGGATCAGTTTGTTTATTTTTATGTCAATTTAAGATTAACACCACCATTAGGACCACAGTGACCTCACACGTGTCTTATCAGAGTTCTTGATGTTAGAACAGCCCAGCCTTGGAAAGACCTTATCAAAACATCCTTGCTGTCCAATCTAGGCACATTCCAGTTCAACAAAATAATACTGCAAAGTTTCACTCCTGAAACAAATGCTGCCTTCTGGGTCAAAAGCAATAACCTCTGATTCCACATCTGTTAGACCAACTAACAAAGTTCATAGAAGTTTGTTTCCACCAATACAGTCAACAAAATCTTCATACATTCAATACAGAACTTTGTCTCTTTTTGGTTTTGGAGTGGCCTTTGTTTTGCCTGCAGACAGAATTCACATGCAGAAAGCCATTCCTTGTTCTCATACACAGCTCTCCATTCATTGTAATTCAGAATTCCTGTCTGTATTATAAATTACGAACTTGTTCCAGTTTTTGGTTTAGATCTTTGCCTTGTACTTTCATTCTCTACTATCTCTTGTCATCTAACTTTTAACATTTCTTTCTTTATAAAGTCTGGGCACTGCTACTACAAGTCTCCTCTACAACTCATGCCATTTAGAACATTGTTCTCCTATCTTTTTCATCTTTGTGAATCTTCACTTAATTGGAAGTTTCACCATATTTGTTTTCACTGGTGATTTTCCCCCCAGGTCTCTCTTGCTCTCACTTAACACACATTATTTAATTATGTCTTAGAATCTAGGCAAACTAAATTGTGCCAAGTATGTCTTATTGTGCTACAGCTAGTTCTTAACCCATTTTAAGTCTATTCTGCTATTGCAAATGGTTTTGGTTTTTACTTCTAGACCATATACTCCCTTTTACACATGTACCACACACAAAAGTCATCACATCTCATGTAGGATTTGAACACATCTTAGCTAAAGAACTTTTGGCACTAACAGTGCTATAAATTACTGGCCATCTACAGACATATGCAGTCTAGAAATGTTTAATTAACAGCAGTAGTGAGGCCAACCAATGAAGCACCGTACCTGTTCTTATAGGTCAACTTCACAATTCTTGTGCCACCTTCATATTTGCCGGGATGCAATTCTTTTAAGGCTTGTTCCCATTTAGAAATGACATCACAGATCTTTAAAAAATATCATGGAGAGAGGAGAGACAAACTGAGGTGAAATGGATAGAAGATAAGGAAATAGACTGGATCTGCATAAACACAGCCAAAAGTGGCAAAACAATTCCTTTTTCTATTACACAGTATGTAAAAATTAAAGCATTCAAACTGAAAACTCCAGCTGTAATCTGCAAGGGGGCATCTGTAAGTGAATTCTTGTCTGGTAGCAACTCTGGCTATGTCCATGTTAGCAAGTAGCAAAGCCCAGGAGGAGCAGATCTGCACAGTGAAACACCTGTTCCTAACACCCTGTTCCCAACACTTGATGAGTTTCAAAGGGTTTTCCTTTGGACTAGCTTTAGTCTGATCAAATTGCCTGAAAGCCCACCACTGTATTGGATCACGTCTTCCAGTTCACATGAAAAGAATCCATTTCACACTCTCCAAGGCTGCTCCTTAATGTGAATCAAAGCATGGTTAATAGGAGTGACTGGGAGGTTTGCTTCAAAAGTGTCCTGAGCCAAACTAAAGCACTAACGTATCCTCTGAAGAGCGGCCGCCTACATGCTTGGCTAAACCAAACCCTTGGATGTGAATGTCCAAACTTCGGGAACATTTGGTCCTAGATTCCAACTTTGTAACTCAGACATAGTTTTAGTAATAGCAGGGTTAGTCCCTTGGTTCCATTTGGCTTCTCTTAGTTATTCCAGTTCTTTTACAAGTGGTCTAATAAAGGTCCCGACTTCTCTTTTGATAGCATCTCAATAAAAGGAATGTGAACATAAGAAGCCACACGAAATACATAATCAGATATCCTAATCCTCTCTTAAAAAGCTATTGAGGTTGCCTTGGCAAGTAAATAATAACCAGTTAATAACCAGTAAAAGTGATGCCTTTGATTGTCTCAAGCTCCTTCATTTTCTCTAATATCTTATTTCTCCAAATGGTGGTTCAATTACCAGCAAAGCTCCAGATTATCTGATCTATATCAGGCCATGAAAGCAAAGCGAATAATTTGGCACTATCTGTGGTAGTTTCTCCTTCAAACTGTCTAATTTAAAGCTATTGGCATGTTCTCCCTCCATTGCCCAATGTGAAATTTTATGCTGTGTAAATCTAAACGTTTATGTTCCTTACAGGTATCACGGCCTCTTCAAAGTTGCCACTACCACTATTCCTCTATCAGTGCTGTATAACAATTATTGTCCCAGATTTGTAGGAAAATCTGATATGTCTCATTCATGGCCACTAGCCTTCTCACTTAAGGCAGTCATCCAGGTAAAAATCGCCATATGAAAGGCACGGATGTTAATACTTTATCTGGTTTCCTTTTCCCTCGATCTGAGGCACTCCAGTCCTTTTTAAAGTGAGAGCATACTCAGTAGAGCTTTCTCCCCTAAGTACCCTCATCAACAATGAAAACCTGAGTTATCTGGAGATAGCAAGGAGATACTTCATAATCCAATAGATGAGATTTATATAGACATGCCAAGAGACTCACAGCCTAACATAAATTTGTCTCAATTAGGAGTGTCACATTTGATGTTAGTTGTGATATCTGATCGTGCTAGCTAGCTCAGTCATGTTTTAATTTTGCAGTCAAGACAAATTAAACTTTAATATGCGCTAAAATCTGAGTTAAAGACTTCTAAAAAATTGACAAATTTATCACCTACTAAAACAGAACGTGCTTTGTCCTAACCAGTACCTCAGACTAGACTGAGCTAATTATAGAATCATACAACAATTTCAGTTGGAAAAGACATTTATGGTCTTTCTTTTTTAAAAGATCATTGAGTCCAATCATAAACTTAACACTGCCAAGTCCACCACTAAACCATGTCTGTACTAAACCACATCTACACGTCTTTTAAATAACCCGGGGATGGTGACTCAACCACTTCCCTGGGCAGCCTGTTCCAATACCTGACAATCCTTTCAGTGAAGATATTTTTCCCAATATCCAATCTGAACCTCCCCTGGCACAACCTGAGGCCATTTCTATCACTAGTTACTTGGGAGAAGAGACCAACACCCTCCTTTCAGGTAGCTGTAGAGAGTGATGAGGTCTCCCCTCAGCCTCCTCTTCTCCAGGCTAAACAACCCCAGTTCCCTCAGCTGCTCCTCATAAGACTTGTGCTCCAGTCCCTTCACCAGCTTTGTTGCCCTTCTCTGGATATGCACCAGCACCTCAATGTCTTTCTTGTAGTGAGGGGCTCAAAACTGAACACAGTACTCAAGGTGCAGCCTCACCAGTGTGAGTACAGGGGGCGATCACTTCCCTAGTCCTGCTGGCCACACTATTCCTGATACAAGCCAGGATGCTGCTGGCCTTCTGGGCCACCTGGGCACACTGCCGGCTCACACTCAGCCAGGTGTCGACCAACATCCCCAGCTCCTTTTCCACCAGGCAGCTTTCCAGCCACTCTTCCCCAAACCTGTAGTGTTGCATGGGGTTGTTGTGACCCAAGTGCAGGAATCAATATCTGATCTCTGAATACTAATCTGGATAGACAATACCCAAGTGTATTTAATGTTGCTGCATTAAGAAAAATTTATTAGCCATTTAGCAACTCTTCAAAGCTGTGTGCTGAATGTAGCAGAGGGAAAAATAAATACCTTCATGTTGCCCTGCAGACAATGCTCCAAATTCCTGCCAGAAGGATCATCTGTGAACAGAGAAAATCCCATGTGGGATGGCTTCCTCATTCCAGTCTCCTGGTTCAGTCGCTGGATGAATTCATCAACTGTTGAGGAACCATCAAAACCTACAACCTGCAATGAAAGAGGAGCTAATCAAGGATAACTTTCAAAAACCATGACATTGATAGGTATCACAACTAATGAAGCCTGGTTTCCTACAGATTGGTATCTCATGATTGACTGCCAGCTCCAGTGACTGCACTTGCATATTGTCTCCCTTCATATTGCATTCTTTCTTGTACTGAAGCATTTATGACATCTCTCCCTTTTCCCCAGCTACCTTTTCTTCCTAAGACCTGTAGAGCTGGGGTTGGATTCCTTTCATTTTCTCAGAAAAAATGGCTAAAATGGCAAGGAGGAAAGATAGTGTCTATTTCTCAATGTCTGACACACATAAACACCATGGTGCCACCCACCCACATGAAGGAGGCAGGTTATGGTGCAGTCCTCCAGTGCCCAGAAGAAAGGCAGCTGCGGTGGCTCACCTGGTAGGTTCCGTTCATGAAGTGCACTGGGATGCTGAAAGGGAGTGAGTGGTGGTAGGGATTTCTCAGCAGGATGGACACAATCTCCATCCGGGAGGGCTTGGCTTCCCGCTCGCCAGTCTGCACAGTGCGGTCTACTGATCTCTGGCAGTAGATGGCATACTTGCCTATTTCACTCCTAGGCAAAGAGGTGGAGATAAGCCACAAACATGCCTTAAATGCCATGTCTTCTTCTATTTCCCATGCCATGGCAAAGCATTCCTCCCTCAGGCTTTTGCTCAAGCAAAGATACATCTCTGTGCAGATATCCTAGTTCTTCTCAACAGACTAACAGCTCAAGTGAAAAGCTACAACACAAACCTGAGCTCCAAGGATCTGTAAAATCAAGGTAGACGATAGACTCTCCAGGAAGCACAAGAGCATTCCCTGCTCCTAGATGGACTGGACGTAGTATAGGAATACCCTCTTCTGTACCCTGTTGTCATCATAGTATCCATCTTGTTGTCATCAAGACCAGTTCACCCTTAAAATTGCTGTCATGCCAGCGGAATTTAGTTACTATCGTGTCAAGTCCTGATAAGCATTAACAATAAATTGTAATGCATTAGTCTCACTTACAGAATTATGTAAATTGTGTTTATCAATTTACATGGTTAACCCTATCTGCCAATCAAGAGACTCGACAGAGATTCAAAGCAGGCTCAGATTTGTTGGTAGTTCAATACAGTATAGGGACAGTTATTAATATGATCAGTTTACTGTCTACTGAAGAGAGTGCTCCGTTGAACAGCACCAAAAGGACATATCTCTCTAAAGCCAGGCAGGAACAGTCAATTACACCTTTTCCAAAAATGTTAAGAATGTACGTACTGAATAAATTCTGAAATTGAAGGATTTATATGGATTTATAACTGTACTATCACTTTGCAGGGGAAAGTAATTCCATTCAAGATGCTTTCAGGAGCTCAGCACATGATTAAATCTTCAGTTCAATCCCTGCAAGCAACATGGAAGTCAGGAGCTCTGGCTTTTTACTGTAGCAATATATTGATCACCTCCCCAGTAATATGTTTGAACAATTTTCAAATGGAGAAACAGCAAGAAGCTGTTGTGTCTGGCTCCCAAATGTTCCTGAGCCCTGTGTCTTCTAACCTAGAACTGTGCCCCACTTTTATTCCTCTCTTAGAGACTGGATATATACTCTAAGGTCACCTCTCATGGAAAAGCAATACCTAGAATGAAGATCTAATGTAAATCTATGTCACAGGCATTATGCAGTGTAAACATTCTAGTGTCTTGTTTGCTATGAAACAGGGAAAGCGTATCTATTTAGCTGGTCAAGAAACAGCCATATCTGCTTCATCTAAAGACACATAAGTATTCCTAAAGCTAGGCAGAAGGAGCTAAGCCCCATTTAGCAACTGCTCTAAATCTAATCTAAACTACAAATGAATATAAGAACAGTTTGCTGTAATTTCTGTATTTTTTCCTAGCCCTAATAATTGTTTCATAGCTGGATTGTATAAATATATTTCCTCTTTGTTCTGCTTAAAGTTTATTTGTTGATAAAGGTACTTTTGGGCTAAGAACCTGGCAGACCATCATTACAGTAATGCTTGAAACCAATGCATTAAATGAGTGTCACAGAGCACAGCACGTCCTTATGAAATTCAATAGTCCCTAACAGTAGAGCAGCTCCACTACTGAGTTGAATGGGCCAGTTTGGGAGCTGGTAATGCACAAGTTTGAAGAGGTGATTTCTACCTTACTACTAGCCAGAAGATCCCTAATATGTTGCCTCAGCCAATGGAGAGAGAACCTGAACATCGAGGAATGCCTGATATCTGTTTTTGCTTCTGAGAAGAAATAGCAAATGTGAGGCAGCATGTAAGAAAATAAAAAAACTTGATAGGAGCAGTACACAGATTTCCTTTGCAATACCAGGAGACTTTTAGCTTGAGTTCCAAGGCAGACTTAGACCGAGTATTTGAATATGAGTATTTGTTTGAAAAGAAACCACTCTTTTACCTATGTCTTAGCAACAGTATGTTGTTGCAACACACAACTAGACATCTCTAGCTGTGACCTCCTCCCCAAGGACACAGTGAGATATGCTGAAGACAAGATCACCATGGAAACAAAGAAAGAGCACAGCATGAACACTGGAAAACAACTTCTTGCTGTTACAGGAGATCTTGCGCTGTTTTCTTATAGGGGAAAGTGTTACAGACCTAAAAGAGGTAACAGAAAACAGTACTAGCATATATTTCAGGTTTGTTAGTTTTTCCTGACTTTTTATGGTTCTCCGAGATGTTCTCTGCCTCACATTTGTTCTGTCAGTATGCCTGTTAACCTGACAAGCAGAATGTAATGATCTAAAATTCTAATGATTCATTCTAAATAATTACTGTGTCTTTCTATCAATAAAAGAAAGTAGCTGCATCAGCAAAAACCTCCCTATGTACCTCCAGTTATATCTGCAAAAAGTTCTCTTGCTAGTCCAGGTCACTCAGTCTTGTGAGCTAGCTTAATATAAGTGAATGACTGAAGAGGAACAGCTTGATACCATTGGGAACCTTCTGTCCCCTCCCTCAACTTATTTTTGCAGGTGTGAGTTACAAAATTGCTTCCATCTTTATCCGTTGTGGATGCAAAAGGCAATCAGCTTAGCAGAAGAAAATGCTGTTGCAGTCTTTACCTGGGGTCTGCATGTCGCTGCAAGTGCTGTTTGATGTACCAGAGGAAGTGATGCTGAGGCAGGAAGAGAGGAGCGCACAAAGCCAGGAGTTGCCAGCACTGTGAACATAAAATTGGACATCATTCTTGTTCTGTACTTCTTGCCTGTTGTCCTTCATAGAATACTGCAACCAGAATGTTGGATGGTGACCACTGCTTTTGGGAGTGACTATTTTTAGACATGTAATTCAAGATGCTTCAAAGGGAAGTGATGGTCAGAGGACAGACTGCTCTTCACTGTCTCAATCTGGACTCTAAGAGGTGTTCTAAATGACTGGCCACTTTTGAAAATTTTGACTAGTGTAACCAAGAGCTGAGTGAATGATTAAGACTTAATACTTTTGTCCTATTTGTAACTGCAAATCATAACAAAGAACACACTGGGGAATTTTATTTCAAATTTAGACCCATTATTCTTTAACCAGATTTTCTCATTTGAGTTGGAAATATTACAATCAAGTATCTACATTTATGCTGCAACTTATTCATTTGATTCACCCAATAATTATAGTGCAATAATCAGATTTCATGATTAACAGTAACATTCACGATTTGCATGCTGTTGATCAACTAAAACGGAAAACAAAACTAGTAACATGTGACAGTTATAGCTAGCCAACATGAACTAGGAATTTTGATTCTGAATATGGTCTGAATAGACCATGTGCAACTGCTAAATGGTTAAATTGAAACTAAAATTTATTTTGCAAGTAGTTGCATTCTCAGTGTTTTTCTTTGCACATTAGTGCCGAGATTCTCTCTCCTCCTGCACAGCTTTAGCATTTGCACAATTTTATGAGAACCAGTCCCATTACTAATTATTAAAACCATAGAATTAAATAGAAAGTATTTGCAGAGTGGAAGTGACAAAAGAGGAACTGACCTGAATGACTGAGTGGTTCTGGGGTTGTCGGCAGCTGGTCTGTTTAACAAGCTGACAGTAAATTTCATTCTGCAGCTCAGTATGTGTCAGGCAGACCTGCAGTGCTGTCTGGGCAAGTGACACGTGGTAATCAATAGAGGGTGCCTCCACAGGGACATTGATGAACAGCTGACAGGACTGTAAAAGGGTAGAAGTTAGTCAATGCCATGAATACAGTGACTCTTCTCTGTCAATGCCATGAATACAGTGACTCTTCTCTGGTACTTTCCAGAACAGGTTTCCCAGACATGTTACAGACAATTAATGAATTCTTCTAAATAACCCTGAGAGGAAGGAGGAGAATAGATACTTAGTTGTGGCAATTAGAAAATTCACTCAACCTCCCTCAGCCTGAGGACCTCACAAGTCAGCAAGAGAATCGAGGGGGAAATGTGCTTCCTGCCTTCCATGCCTGTGCTTTACCTTGATAACACTCTCCAGTCTTACTGCTGATCTTAGACTTCTAAAGTACAAGAATCAAATTGCCAATGGCTTCACGATTGGTCTTACTGACACAACTGAGTTTGCCAGTAAAATGTGTTTCCTTCCATCCAACTATTGGAGAGGAAAGAGGAAGATAAGGCTAACTTTGAAGAATAAAGCTTCTGGGGGACACTGCCCCTAAAGCCAGATTCCCTACAAGAAAAAGTTAAACTTTCAAAGAATGAATAGTACCTAATACCCGACTGTCCTGCTGTAATTAAATGACCCAGCAGGCCAGTCTAAAGCAACTGATGGTGACAGTAAATGTTGTGACAAACAACATGACCAAACAATGTTGCTGCCCCAACAACAGAGCAAAATAACTGAAAGCAATGCAACATCCCTTTAAATACCTTAAAAAGTTTCAGAGCTTCAGTCTGTAGAGCCTCCGATGGCAGAGTGGTGAGGGATGTGTGCAACCCATCTTTACTGTAGCACAACATGGGATGTTTCCACAGAGGAGAATCTGAGGTAGCAGATGGGCAAAACCATGCAGCGTTAGAAACAGAAGAAAGATAACAGTGTCCACATTGAAAAGGAGCCTTGCTGAAATGGCAAAGCACCCGAGGAAGAAGCACTGCACTAGACATTTATTTTTGTTGCCACTTCATTGATTTCAGCAAAGTCTGCCATGAACAAGGAGTCACCAGCATTATTAGCCCTCAGCAGAAAGAAGTATTGTCATCCGCAATCCTGCTATGTCAGAGCTTCTCATCAGCTGGATTCTGGTGAGAAACTGTTCAGCTGTGTGTTCAGAGAGACATAAACTCTGCCAGGGCAGCTGCCTGCAATGGGGGTCTTTGTTAGTGCAAGTCACTATTCAACAGTAAGCAAGGTTCACACAGAGGCCTAGGAATATGTGAGTGTGCAGGAAGAGAGTCTTAAGTACAAATACATATGTTAATACACATTTGAGAACATGGTGCATAAATATACATGAATGAGCAAGTATCAAAGATGAGGAGGAACAGATGAGCATGGATCTATGTGTGAGGGTTTATACGTGCAGAGAAAGGAACAGATGTGAAGGCAAGTGTGTATTCAGAGGAGAGGGCATGCGTTTGTATAGTCAAAATTCCCAGGAAAGTAAAATCAGGACCAACAATAACAGGAAAAACTAAAGCTCCAGTTCTTTATTTTAATTTGAATTAATATTACAGAAGTTTCAGATGCTTTAATAAATGATATGACAATGTGATGGACTTGTCTAGTTTCACTACAATGTTTGTATCCTCTCGGGAGATGTTACTGTGGAACTAGGAGAGAAGGACACTATATCATATGCCATTCTACTGAGAATCCCTGTCCCTCACCTTTGGCTGGATTAAACCTGGGAACTGAAGTTACCCTTCCTTATGCTTTGCTACCATGGAAAAGAGTTTGTGGTTTCTACTTACTAGGGTCTCCCTCTGCATCCAATAGTTTTCCAATGAGTTGTTCATACGATGTGCCCACCGTGGCATTACTGCTACCAGCTGCTACGGTCAGATGGTACAGCCAGGTATTCTAGGCATAAGGATGAGAACAGTACGGGTCAATTCAGACCTTGTTTTCCACAAACAGGTTCAATATGTATGCCCCATTTGTTTGCTGATACCAAAAAGACTCTTGCTCTCCAAAAAAGACTGCATTTTTACCTTCTCCTGTTTCGTGCGAATGAGTAAGTATGTGGGACTCTGGTCCTGTGGGTGAATAACCAGTGTACAGTGGGATGAGAGAAGTCCTCCACCAGTGGCTTCATAATCTTCATCAGAGTCACAGGAACGGTCTACTTCTTCTACTTTGGACTCACGCATAGGCAGATGCCCTAGGGGACACTATAAGGAGGAGAAGCAAGTTAGATAAGTATAGCTCATCTCCCACTTTGGACAGGGAACAATGGGAAAGAAAAGCCAGGTCAAGATGTTAGCAGTTCTGTAAAATGTAGGGAATAAACGACAATTCAGAGTTTAACTAATGTAATTAGATAATCTTGCATTTCTATAGAATACCTTCTCCTTCATCAACTAAAGTATTTACAAACTTTGTTAGTACTATTATTATTTTTCTTGGGAGAGCATCTACATGTCAAAATAAGAATATGCAAATAAAAAGATGGTATTTCCCACAAGGTACTGTTTCCTTCCCATTGCACTTGTCAGTTGTGTTTACATCATTGGTTCCACAAGGCAGGATGTGTTTTCTGAGGGTCAGTTGCTCAGTATCTTGAGCCACTGTTTTCCAATCCTTGTCAGACTTTCTGCTTGCTACTGGAAAATAAGTACTTTTAAAGTTACATAGATAGGTTCAGACAAACAGAGCATATCTGCTGTGCTAACTCTGGAGGTCAGTCCCAGGTATGAGTCACAGTATTCCTTGATATTCTAAAACTTGGGTTTCACCATCACCAAGAGAACATAATGGACCATTGGACCAAGCTTCCAGAAATGGAAGCACATTACACCGATTAAATTACCTCCCTCTTCCCATATTGTTGTTGCTACTTATTTTCATGACAGTATGCAGAATATATCAGCTGCTATATAAAAGTCTGCTCTAAAGGATTCACAAGACCAAATGGAGAAAGCGAGAAACAAGATATAGAGCGATCTGAGAATGAGCAGTCACTTGCCACCTTGTGGTTTAACCTGGCAGGCAGCTAAAACAACCATGCAGCTGTTTGCTCGCTCCCCCACCACGCACAGTGGGATGAGGGAGAGAATCAAAAAGAAAAAGGTAAAACTCATGGGTTGAGATAAAGACAGTTTAGCAGGACAGAAAAGGAAGATGATGATTATGATGATAATAATAATAATAATAATAGAATATACAAAACAAGTGATGAACAGCACAATTGCTCATCATCCAGAGTTGACGCTCAGCTAGTACCTGAGCTGTGCTGCCTCCCAGCCAGCCCTCCAGTTATATACTGAGCATGACATCATATTGTATGGAATATCTCTTTGGCCAGTTGGGGTCAGCTGTCCTGGCTGTGTCCCCTCCCAGCTTCTTGGGCACCCCTGCTGCCTTGTGGCAGGGCAGTATGAGAAGCTGACAAGTCCTTGACTGCTTGGCAACAACTAAAATATCAGTGTGTTATCAACATTATTCCCATCCTAAATCCAAGGCACAGCACTATACCAGCTGCTAGGAAGAAAATTAATTCTATCCCAGCCAAAACCAGGGCATGTCTTTTAAGTCTTTTGTCATTTTAGCTTTAAAAAAAAAAAATTAGAGAAAATGTTAATTCTCTTTGTGGAGCAGATGCTGTTAGAAGGGGAGAAGTACAGCCAAGGAAGAACTTGAAGCATGAGACACAGAAGCAGTAAAAGAAAAGAAAGTGTCATGAGAGATGGGAAAAGAGAGTTCAGGAACAAAAGGGGAAAAGAAATTACCTTATCTTCATGATTTCGATAGTAGTAGAAAGTTTTTCCAATCAGTGCACACCAGACCAGCTTAGAGTGACCATGCTTGACCTGTGAGGAGGACAAAGAAATACATGTTTTTTAACATCAGCAGTGTGCTAGAACTATTTTCTAGGATTTCAACTTTCAATTAAACTCTGCCTTAAAACCTTGCATATAATATTTATTCTATGCTAATATGAACAAATCATCCAGGGTACCACTTCCAAAAATAGATAAGTACATCCCACCTAAGTAAATGGGACATAAGTGCTTATGGAAATAGGTCTGAGATTTTCTGAAATATTTTACTCGTTCATAACAACCCATAATTTCTGTATCCTGAAATAAAATATTAAGAATAACCTTTTTAAGATTATAAAACCA